CAGACTTTACCTTAACTATTTTGTATATTCAAATAAGATGCACAGCTCTAAATGGCTTTTTTTCTAGTTTCCTAAAAAGCTATTATGATTCACGTTTGCTTATGGACATCAACAAATATTTCCCTGCTTCCCTGTACCTGTCTTTTAAAAGCAACTACAAATATTTAAATGCTGTTAGTGTAACAATCAACTATTGAACTTTATTGGATTACTTATTTCCACCTATTGTTATGCTGCGTTAATCATCTTTTTGAATTAGGTTGTTAATTTAACTGTTTGGATTTATTGTAAGCGAAGTCTATTGGTCGCATCTTTATTCTAAATACATGCTCTTTCATTTTAAGCCCGTCAGGGAGTATTCAAGAATATTGTGCATAAAATAAATATTATATTATTTTAACTTTAGAGATGTTTTACCAACAAAGTGTGTAGGTCATTTAACTTCGCTTGAGTATGGAAAAAGCATAAAAATGGTGCTTCTTTCAAAAAGTCATAAAAATGATTGTATTTAAGGATCTCTATTTAGGGTATTTATTTAGTGAGAACACAATACACACTTTGCACCAGTAACACGCTTTATAATGGAGTTGTTACGCGTAGTCTAAGCCAGAGTCTTCTCAAATCACTCTTCATATTCTTGGATTTTTGCATAAGCATTTGATTTATTTACAGCCCGAGACACCTTAACATCCTGGCTACTCACTTATAAATAGATAAAATAATAACCAAATTAACAAATACCTTCGATTACACATTTCTAGTTTGGATAACTATGCCTGAATTCAAGCGATTTTCGTGAATTTCAACATTTTGTGTATTTGAAAAATAAATTTTGTCCATGTCCTACCTCATTTATTGTCTTTAGCTTTTAGAATGAAGAGCATTGATATAATTAATTTTAAATCAACTAACTTGTTTGTTAAACTTCAAATGTTACTCAAGAAGTGAGCGAAGTGTGAACATTTTTTAGGGCTGAGAATTTGTTCATAACTTTGTTTATATCTTCTAGGATTTTATTTATAGAAAAGACACTTTATTTATATAAAAGACAATTTATAGGTTTTTATTGTATTAAATAATAAATTTATTACTGAAAATATTCAGTAAGAATATGTGAAGCAAATGATATTAGCATTAATAAAAGAGAAAGAATACAAGTAAAATCATTTTTTAATATATTTCAATAAACTTAATTCTCTTAAAAATATTATTAAAAATAATTGCTTAATAAATTATTTTTTAACTCTTGTTGAAAACTTTTTATTGGCATCAAAAGCTGGCATCCGATTTAAAATAAATATAATATGAAAATGTAGAGTAGAAGCCTTTTAATTATTTAATGTTGATCTAGGACTTGTTCAAATTATTTAGCCCCAACTCTTTTTTTTTGCATTTTACAAACAGCTTTATACAAATATTTATAGAGCTGCTCGAGGCTTTTGGGTTGTTTGATAACATTTTTTTTGTATAAAAATGGAATCCATCGTGTTTTAGGAAACTGCGCAGTTTGTTATACTCCGTGATAGCAAACCAAAATGACGCACTAACATAAATTTAATTAACATTTTCGTGATACACAAAAAACAGAAAAAAAAATACATTTTCAATTGTAAAAAGGCATAAGGAAAGGGGGTAAAAATGACCCGTTAAGCTAAAAACTTACAGTAACGAATTAACAATACTCATTGAAAGTGCTGCAAAAAAAACTTGTCACACAGCAATTTAACATATTTCCAAAGGGTCTCCTTTGACAGTATAAAAAACCTTTAAAAAAACGCTGAAAAACGAGACCCAATTATACACGATTTTTTCTGTAGTCAAGCATAAAAAATGCAGCCTTAAAAAAAATGGGTTAAAAAATTAACGCGCTGTATAAAAGGCGCGCATGCAGCAAGGATGCGCTCGCAGGCTGATGATTTTTTTGGTTGCGAGGACAAGAAAAAAACATACAGCTATCCAAAAAAGTATGCAACGCAGGCTCATTTGAATATTAGGCGCTAGAAATGTTCCCACGATTTTTTGTGCTTACTTTGTTTTTTTTTTTTACTACTAAGAGACTACCCACAGACCTGAAGGATAATGGAAGAGCGCACAAGGAAGACAGCTCGCATAAAAAATAAGAATCCGGATTTTTTTGCCTCATTTCCATGCCAAGGAGCTGCTTAAGAAGCAGCTCGGCAAAGGGTGAACACGCACAAAGGGATAAAAAAGCGCTCTTAATTTATGCACAACACGTTCGCGGATCGGACAAAGGGTTGAACGCGTGATCCTTGTGCAGGATATCTGTGTGCAGCCCATCCGTCGCATTTGCATATTTGATCAAGTCCCTTTGTCAAGGGTGCGCGGCCAGGGTCAGCATCATTTTTCATCTCTTCTACTATAGGTTAAAAAAAAGAAATAGAAAAATACGCAAATTATTCAAAAAAGTCCTTAATGCGTAGCACATAAAATATGTCCTGCGAGTCAGACTTGAATCCGAGATAGAATTTTACTTTAATATACTAAGTCAGAGGATCGGTTCACTAAATAAATATTAAACTAATTTAAGCTCTTAGTCGCCCTGCTCCTCTGCATCTCTCTGGGTCAGCTTTCTTTTTGCCTCTGTAGGTAGAAAAGTTATGCAAAGCAGGGAAGCAAGGATCTACACTGTATTGGGCACTGTCGCAGAGCCTCTTCTTTTTCGAAAACCTCTTGGGTCTGATATTCGTTATCTGTTTTACATATTCGACTCCTGGTGATGTTTTGTGTGACGCTGTGTAAAAGTCTTAAATCAATATTTGATCATTAGTCACGTTCAATAATTCTAATTATTATAATTCTTTTCCAAAGGACATTCTGTGTCATTTCCAACGGAGCAACACAGCTGCCATTTATGAAACTCAATTGGGAATCTACTTCGAAAATGATTGAAGGAATCATATTTAAATTTACAATTAGATAGCGTTGGTCAGTAAACTAATTTAGTAAAATATATATATAATCTAGAAATAAATTTTAATTTATTTGAGCTGAAAGTGTATGTATGATGTAATTTATTGACCAAGGAACATATTCTTATTGTACTTTTGAGATACTGTCACATCAAGACAAAATGTTTTTTAAAGAGTATTACGATTCGTACTGCTTACCTATAAATAAGACTTGTAGAGAATAACCTTAGCTTAATATTTTTTTGATAGACTGTACTAAATCATTTACCATTGTCTCCTCAGGTTTAGCTTTTTATCAATCATCCAGATTGATACAGTTTTAAAAATAGTCAGTTGAGTGCTAAGATGACAGTCTTCATAATATTAATTATAGCATGCTAAAAGCTTTCAGAAATTCTTTAACGGCTTTCCCAACGCTTTCGAATGCCTTTTTTAATGGGCAGAAATTCCAAAGTCGTCGAACAAAATCAATCAAGCGCTGTGACATCCAAAGATAACAATATAAAACAAAACAAAAAAGACTATCAACTATAAAATTAATTAGCAAACGTTAAATAAATTATGCAAAAATTATACAAAATTATACGAAAAAATTGTCAAAATAGAAGTGAATAAACAATTTAATAATAAGTATGCAGAAATAGGCAAATGTTGCGAATCAGAAACCTTTTTGCTGTGTTCAAATTTAATTAATTTAGTTAATTACAGACCCGGCTTAATAGCTGCCAATAGAATTGACTGACCTCACATAAAACTGGTTAACTTGTGCCAAAATTAATTTTTGACGGGCTCATTTTTGAACACGGGTAGGAGGAGGAGAGAAGACAGTTCCAATAGTCAAAAAAAGTTGCGCTTGTAAACACAATGAACAATCGACGGCTTAAATAAAAAATTGAAATCGAAAATCAAATACTCTTCCAGTCATAAAACGTATACAACAATTTTTTATGAAATAATAAAAACAGATATATGTAATTAAAAAATATATGGAACTTGAAACTGGCTTGAATGCTGGTTCGAATGGAAGATATATTTTTCGCCAATTAGCGACGGCTTCAATTGAAGAAGGTATTTAATCTTAATACATTTCTGATGTTATGTATAAATATATACTTCAAATTGAATCTCCTTCATTAATAGTCAGTGCAACTTGTGTGTTCAATCTGTGTTAATTCAGGGCTACTTACAAGGACATAACTTAACTTAATATAACTAAATCTGAATTTGTAGTGTTCAGCCTCAATACTCTTCATGTAGTTTCGGTTTCTACTGTCAGAATGAGAGACACGCAGCTGGACATCAAGTCAGGCATTGCATAAAACCAATTAAGTCTTTTCACATCGTGAGCGAGTGCACATATATAATCTTTACAGAAGGACATTGAGCTTTTAAAAGAAAAAAATATGAAAAAATGAGTCCCATTTTAAATGATGATACTATGTTGATTTTACTCACAGAAGGACTTAAACACTGTTTCAGCTATGCATTTGCTTGCGCTGATCATAGATCATAGAAATAAAATTAATCTGATCAAGAATATTTAGCATATATACCAATTATATTTTATAGTAAACGACAGCTTCCAACAGCGCTACATACATCATACGCAAATTGAAATACTCACGTTAAGGGCATCTAACATAAAAGTAAAATACAAGAAATGATTGATTGAATGTCAGTTGATGTCAGTTAGAAGAAGAGACAGAGCGAGCAGCAGAAGGGGAAGTAAAACTATTAAAAATATTTGGTAGATGGTTATACTGGTATTCTGCTTTCAAAACATTTGCTCATATATCAGAGACGATTTCGCGTAGAACCGGTTCGAGTGATAAGCAACAAAATTAACTTTCCATGTAAATGAAATATAAATAAATAAATATATAAAAAATATAGTTTTCATTACACGAATTCTTTTGAATATATATATATATTTTATCATATTGATGATCGTATGGTGAGTACCAAAATATTTATGATATTTCTTTAGTCCGAGTTAACTTGTTTTTATTAATCAACTTTAAAAGTTGAAGGATGTCAAAGCTTTTGTATCATATCATAATGCATAACATAATTTTAAAATAATTCCATTCAATTCACAACAAAAAATCGTTCGATATTTGAACATACGACATAGATGAACTATATTTTATATAATATTGAAAAGATAAGTTATGCTGACCGGTTGTGGTGATGAGCTGCCTAATCCCCACAAGAACTGCTTGCGGGAGATGCTGAACACGCTCATATGCAATGATCAGGATGTGAAGCGTTTGAATACGGAGCTGAAGAACTTGGAGATACAGCTGAAAGAGGAGCTGCGGAAGATTGAGAAGGATAATGCGAAGTGCGCCGATGTCAAGCAGAAGCTGACGGAGAAAGGAAGTAAGCCGCGAATTTGTGAGCCTGATGAGGATCATGCGGAATTCACCAAGCGGATCATTAATTTGGATGAAATAAAGCATTTCTATTCAAAGCGATCGGAGGAGATACGCAAACGTCGAGACAGCATCATAGTGTACGCCAGACAGTGTCTGCACGCCTACAGTGAGGAGAAGTGCAAGTTCAAATCCTTTCACGAGAATACGGTGGATTATATAAAGCGCACGGCTGCTCTATCGCAGGATCCGACTGTTGTCTCACGCTGCGAGCGGGATGTTTGCGAGATGTACAAACGATTCGTTAAGGAGGTGGCCAATCTAAAGCACTGCGAGACACAGCTGCAACCGTTCTTTCAGCTCTTGAAGGACTCGGATCCGAAAGTCAGCTGCGAATGCTGCTGCCTCAAGGATTACGAATGGCTGCCACAGGGCAAAAATATGGAGACGGTTGATGGCGCCACCAAGGAATTGAAGGAGAAGATGGGCAAGACCATAGTGGGCGCCTTTGCTCAGCTGCATCTCCACATGCCTCAGGATATGTTCGGGTTCATAGCCGGCTACCTGATGAATGTGGAGCGCAATGAGCATGAGGTAAAGGAGAAGCTCGATCTCTTCCAAGACCATGATGATTCCCCGGTTAAGGAACTCCCCGATCCGACCTATCACTGTGGCAGCGAATGCCCCAAGCAGTAAATTTCAATTTAAATTAGTTCGTTAAAATCGAAAATAATGGGTGGTAGTTTCAAGGACATATCGATCATAAGCTGAACGAGGTCTCATTTCAAATTGGGTTGGTTAAAAAATATTTCAGGGAATATAGAAATTATTTTTTCAAGAGTCAATGAATAAAAATAATGACAATAAATTAATACACAATACTATTTCCATGGAACTTAGGTTGATCAAAAATTTATCAAGCTCACGAGAAAAAAATGCAAGTAGGACCTGGATCATGATAATACGGAAACGGTCTAAAAAATCAGACTTTAACGTGAAAAAAGAAATGAAATTATGGAAAACTATAAAAAATGTAATATAAGTCAGCTTTCAAGCTATATGTTTAATATAGATCAATCTATCTGAAAAGCTGTGAGAAAAACAAATTATTTAAAACTTTGAAATATAATATATATATATACTTGATTTTTATTTAATGTTAACTCACATTCAGATAATAAAAATCCCTACAAGTAGAATAGCCTTTAACGTTAAGTACATAAGCTTTAAAACATATAGATGTATATTTATATATATTTTTTTTTTGCTTTTTGCTTCACTTAGAAAATCACATATAGAGTTTTTTTTGCATTAAGCGATACTTAAGCTTGAGTTTCGATTCAATTTCTATTGATTTTTGCTACATAATGCTGTTTAGCCAATTTTATTGTGACATATTTGAATCTTCCAACTGTTTTAATATTTAATTTAAGCTTTTGCATAATTCTATTTCTTGCGACGGTTGCCGCGGCGCGATGTGGTGGCAGGCTCCTTATCGGTGACACCTGTGATAGAGGCGCCCGACATTTCGGTATTGGCCATCTTCTCTTGCGTGTCCAGAAAGAACATGACATCGCGCAGCTGCTCCTTGAGATCTGTGACCTCTTTCTCATGGTTGCGCTTGAATTCGTTGTATTGTAGCTCTAGGTTTTTGTATTTCAAATGCCAGGATGTTTGATTGTCCTGTAGGGCCTTGGACAGCTCACGTTCCTCGGTCAGCTGCTTTTGCACCTCTTTGAGCCTATGAAGCACGCAGAATAATGAGTGTTAGGAGAGATCTATTTATTTGCCATTGACTTACTTGTTTGCATGATGCGCTAACTTTCGTTCCAGACCCTGTTTTTCCTTAAGCAAACTCTGCTGCATCAGCTGCAGCTCACTTATTTCTGAGTTGGTCGCGCTGGCATTGCTCTGAAAATCTTGCCAGTCTTTCTCCAGGCGCTCCATACGCTCCTCATAGTATTTGCGTTGCGTGTCTAGTTGTGAAGTTAGCAAATAGGTGAATTCCATTTGCATCGAGTCGATTTTCTCTTCGCGCTCATCCTTTTCTGTTTGCGAGGCAACAAGCTTGCCATCCGACTTGTTTTGGAATAGACGATGCACGAAATTGTCGCCGGCATAATCCCACACGCTCGATGTACCCAGCTGCATGGCAAAGGTGTGATTGGTGGCGCGATAGTGAGCTGCGGCATGGCCGCCTTGATACCTTCCGCAGCCCACATGGCCACATATTAAGCATATCCACAGCGAATCTGTTCCCTCGCACTCCATGCAGACCGAATCCTCGACTAGCTCCGGCGTTTGCACGTGCCGACACACCGGGCAAGTGGAATCGCCCCACTTCATCAGGCAGCTGGCATGGAAAGCATGATTGCACAGAATCGTTAAGACACCATCAACGCTCTCGTCCATGCGCTCCAAGCAAACGGGACAAGTGGGCAGTTCTGTATGACCAGTAGGTGGTAAACCATGTTCTCCACGCTCTACCTGTGACACCCAAACCGCATGACAGATCGAATCAGGCTCCAGGGAGTTGTAGGCCAATCCATTGTAAGAGTTATAGAACTCTAAGGCAGAATCATTGGAACGAAACCTGAAGTAGAATACATTGTACAAAAAGTTTATCCACAGGAGTACAGTTATATATATGATTCTAATAGGATAATGGTAGCTATAAAGCCTAGGGGTAACAGCTAACAGTTATTAAAATGTTGTTCTCAAAGCTAGCCAACACACATTTCCTATTAGAGTCATTTGACTTACTCGAGTAGCACCATAAATTGATTGGGACTGCCATCGCGTACGATGCATACGTGCTTAATCTCCGCATGACAGGGCGCTATAAAATTGAGCAAATCGTGGCAGTTGAGTGTGGCTGGCACAGCGAGGAGGCAGAGTTGATTTGAAGGCGCCTCCTTGATAGCCTTGCGCTCGCTGCCAAATAGAATATACAGACATATATAACAGTTGTTATTGTTTCAGCGCAATTTTGGTACGCACTTCTTTTTGTAAAGATGTATGATTCCTTTTGTTACCTCCACAATGGGATTGCCGGAGAAGTAGCCAATTTCTTGTGGAAAGTTAGAGGCAGTTGCTTGTGATTCCTCACCGCCTCCACGTGGCGTCGTCTCGCGTGAACTGCCAGCTGTTGGGCTATTGGTATGCTGCTGGAGTGCAGAGGCCCAATTCATTTTTTTCAACTCGTTCGATTCGCTTGGTTCCTTAGTCCAACGTTTATTTGAATATGTCTCAATTATGATTTCGCGTGCCTGACGAAGTCCACGATCGCGTTCGCGCTCCTTTTGCACACGCGGATTGGTTGGATGCTCCGCAGAGACAGCGCCTTCTTGTTCTGCTTGAACAAAAAGGAAAACAATGTAAAATCTTTGTCTCCGTTTTCGTAGCACAATTTAGGTCATTTACCTGCGTTGGTTTCCAAATCGATTTCGATTTTGATGACACACAAGGAAATGTTTTCTAGCATTACACAGGCATAATTTTTGTCAGGGCCAAATGCCAAAAATCATATTAATTCTTATTTTATTAAACAATTTCACAATTTTCGCTACTGAATGGAACGTATAACAAAAACGAAATATACAAACAACTACTAAAAAATACCACAAATAATACTTATTGTTATCGATAGTGCTATCGAATGGATAGTAACACAGCGGAGCATTAACCAACACTCGCGAACGTAACGTACCAGTCTTTAAATCCATTTGATTTTGAAATTGTTTTGTTTTTTTGAAGAACAGGAATATAAAAAAAGTTACGTTTTACTTTTGACATCGACTCAAAGAAGTAATTGCTTTGTTTTTTATTTTCAGTTACTGTGTTAATACAATTTTATACGTATATAAAAATTCGAATGATAAACATTAAAATAGTTGTTTTTGGATTTTATATATATTTTTGATATTTTTTGAAACGGTTCTATGTTTTTTGTTTATATAATAACTTAATATATTTTTGATAAGTTTAAGTAATTTACCTGCAATTTTATGTTTTTTACTTCTTAATTTTTGTTTTCTGACTTTATCTTTTCTTTCCCCTCTCTATACCCCTACGCTAAAGTTTCGCTTGAAATGCCTTCGTCTTTCGGCTCGGCTAAAACTCACTTCGGCTTCAGTTGGCCAAAGCGCGGTACGTAAGTGCACACGTTAGGTTAGTACGTAATAGTCGCTACTGCGAGTTGGTCGTGCTGTTGAAAGTTACGCGCAAGTTGCCAAGCACAAAAACACGTTCAAAATTCGTCATCTCGTCTCACTCCTACGCGCGCGTAAATATACAAAAACAAAACAAACCAACCAGTGAGTGTAATAACGGATAACTTACAGTTGCTTTTTTAACTTAAATAGTTGTTGTTCCTTTGTTGTTGTTGCTGATGTAGTTGGTGTTGTGCTTGGGTATAATAAACACAGCCATTTAATTGCAACGTAAATATGACTGCAATTACCAAAACTGAACCGCAAAATATGTTTACAGCAATTGGCCAGCCATCATTTGTATTGATTTTCGCCTATTATATATTAATGCAAAAAAAAACAAAAACCAAAAAATGTTACAAAAATGTGGCTCAGTTTAGGTCTTGGTTCGGTGGTCCGTTACTCGCACATGTAGTACACAAATACACTCACAGTCACTCACACTCAGCCGCATGGTCATGCTAACAAGCAGGCGCCAACACGCACACACAGCCAAACAGACACACACACAAACACAAACACAAACACACACATACAGCTACGTCGCTCTCGCTGGCTGTAACTGACAGCTGCCAAGTGCCAGAGCTTGTCGTCAACAAGTCTATCAAAAGTACGTTTGTCATTTCTGTTGCAATCCTCCGAAGGGCAGCCCGTCAGGTGGCAGCCCCGCCTCCTGCCTCTTCGCTCAAACTCTTTCTGCCTGTGTCTATGTGTGTGAGTGCGAACTGTCATTGTATTTGTCAATTTTGTGTTTGCTTAACTACTATGTTAGCTATATACTTATTGTTCTTGCTGTACCGCTGTTCGCCACTCTAACGCTTTTTCCTCTCTCCACCTCTTCTCTTCGCATGCTTTTCAAGTGTTTTCACTATTTCATTTGCATTTCTCGGCTCTGCAAACAAGCGAAACACTGCGAATCCATTTGATAAGGGCATACAAGAGGAGCATATTTATAAAAAATAGAAGAATAGAAACTTAATATTTTAGAGTTGCGTGTGTTATGTTGAAATCATTTTAATATGTCCTGTCTGTGTGAGTTGCTGAAGAGTTGGAAAGGGGCTTCTTCTAATACTGTTTTTTATGTATAGAATATAAAATTATGTTTAAATAAATATGAATCCCTTCAATTTGGATATAAGGTTCTCAGACAAAAATCGATATTTTTCAATATCTCTTTGTTGCATAGCTTCGCTTCAGCTATATATAAACAGTTCCCGACTAGATGGTTTACATTAAATTTTAATAAAAAGCGCACTAAAAATTGTATAGAAATATTTGTTATATTTAATTTTATGCATTTTTTATTTAAATTAAAGTAATAAAATTATTTTTAAGCACATATCGATATGTCTGGGCAATGTCATTCCGTTTGAGTAAATTGGCCTTGGAGCCACGTCCGCCTAATTTTTAAATTATGACTAAGAAATGTTGCGCGTGTTAAATGTGATGTAAAAAGCTATTCATATGGAGCAAAAAGCTATTCATATTTATGTTTCTATAAATTGCAAATAATCAACTTGGAACATTTGAATTATGAGCTTAAGTTTATTTTTACGAGAAAGGTTAAAAAAAAATAGGCTAAGAAATCCAATCGCATCAAAAATGTTGAAGTCGAAGTCCAAGAGATTTCATTGGATTCGGGTAAGCCCAATACAATTTACTGAATAATTTAAAAACAAAAAATTAAATAATAATAAATTTAAAAAAAATATATATGAAAATATAACTATCTGATCCAGAAATAAGAATATCAGCAAGACTATATTGTTTTAATTTGTATTAAAGTATTTCAAGTCCAAGCGTCTTGCAGTCTTGTGCGCATCTTAACACTAAGAAATTATTTGCAGCCTAAGCACAGATATATATTTTATTATTATTATTATAATTATTATTATTATTATTATTATTATTATTATAATTATTATTATTATTATTTTTATTATTATTATTATTTTAAAATTCAAATGAAATGATCAAATGATCATCATACAAATATATATAGTTAAGAATGCTTAAAGTTAGACAATCTAACTACCTTGACAGCGCACAGTCCGGGACTCGCGCCCTTGGGACTCGAACCCATAGTTCAAGCAACACACATACAAAAAAATAAATTTTCCTAACTGCAATCGTGTATAACATAGAACAAACGCGTGTTTTTCCACTTTTTGGGGTGCGATGTTTGGTTTATGCAAATAAATGTTTTTGGTTTTGCCTTAATTTGCAATTGATGCACACATTCAACATTTGTTTTCGCTGGGAGAATACATTTAGTGGTAGATTTTGTAGATTTATTCAAAACTGCTTCAAAATGCCTGATGAAATACCGCAACGACTTCTGCAAGCTGTGCTCTCCCTTGTTCTTCTTCTGGCTGTAGTTTTTGCTGTTGCCCCATTCAAATTGAGTTGTTGTTTATTCATGCATTTTGTTGCACTTCTGCTCGCTACATTGTTGGCCCGCAACATACACAGCTACGTAGTATTTATCTGTGTATAGGTGTGCGTGTGCACTCATTCATTCATGGAAGGCCTGCATAGCTCTGCATAACACGAGGCTTGACTTGCCCGCACGGCCTGACATTTGCATGGTAGCTGTCAGAGCTCAAGTATCTGTTACGTTTAAATGCCGACAAACACACACACATACACATACAGAGAGTTAAACAAACAAACATATGCAAATGTGCGTGTGTGCTATAAGAGCTGTTTGTTGTGTCAGCCCCAAGTGTGCGCTTTCACTTTTTTTGTTTTGTTGCGAAAAAAACAAAAACTGGCAAAACGACAATCATGACCAGGTTTTGAGTTTTTAAGTCTCACAGTTGGTTGTTGTTGTTGTTTGTGAGCCGTAAATCATGTATGCGCTGTTTGAGCCAAATGATTCAATTGCCATGATTGCCAGCAACAGGCAGAGAGAGAGAGCGAGAGAGAGAGAGAGAAAGAGAGACAAAACCGGTTGTGGGCCACAGTACAACCGTGTGGTCAAGTAACATAATCGCAGTTTCAGTCGCAGCTGAAAGAGACAGAGAGTAGAGTTGAGTGGCAAAAGAAAAGAGAGAGGGGAAGAGAGGAAGGGCAGTAGGGCTAGCCGCAGCGGGGTTGGACATATTTTAATTGCAACACACGGCAATTAATTGCTTTATCTGCAGGCCCATGCAAATGTGTTTCTGATTGCTCAACGATCAATATTAAGCATACGCCTAATTGTTCCATCACGATGTAACGCATACGCTGCGTGGCACGCACTGGTGGTTAACTGTAACGTATTGATCGTAATTAATCATAGATTAATAGACATGCCCACAAAAACCTCGAGGGATGATAACTTTATCAAGAGACCGTTTTACTAGGTGAAATATTATATAACTAGTAAAAAAAAATAAATTATAAATTCGTTAAGTGATTAAATATTTTACTATTCTTAAGTTTTATATAGCAAAAAGTAGCGGCTGCAACTTAGTCGTATGTCAGAGTGATGAATTGGTGCCCTAAGCAAAACGGAAACAGTTTGGGCTTATCTTGCATGATGAATGACCAAATCACTCTTCATGCAAAAAAATTAAGTTTGTTCTAAAAATAGATGCAGAAAGGCTTAACAAATAAAAACGTGTGACACGCTCTTAAACGACTACTGTGCTCGACCTATAGGTCAACATCATATTATAACTTGACATTCTTAATATTCTTTCTCGAATTATTTATACTCGAGATGTTTGTGTTAAATTTCCATGACATTTAAAACTCAATCTTAAATAGACCAAAAAGATGCCGTTTCAAATATGTTTTGCTATTACCAACTGAACTTTAAAGCAAATCCGAACTGAAATACAAATCTAATACAGTTTAAGGCTGAGAGGCCAGCAGACAAAGCTGCAAATTGTGCGTGGAGTTGTACAGCATTATATAGACACACAATGTTTATTTTAATAATAATAGTAATAATAGTATTTTTTAAATGTGTCATAACAATTCAGATAATAGTTAAAATGTGCCACATTTCCATTCTCAATTCAAGTCGCTTTACAATCTTGCCATGCAAATGGGGTTGACACTAAATGTTGCATCGCATAAAGTATTTTTTGCACTTGCCATGTTCCTTTCTCTGGCTCTGGCTCTGCTCCTGTTTCTGTGCCTCTGCGAATACTCCTTGCATTGAAATGTGTCGACTGCAATGTACACGACATTCAACGTGTAAATGATATAAAGAATGGCAGAACAGCAGGGGGCAAGTAGAATCGCGGGGGCTGGCAACCTGATGTTTTTGCCACGTTGTCATGACAGCAAGGGGCACGGGCCAGAGTGCAAGGGGAGGTTGAGAAGTGTAAATGTCTAACCTACAGCATTTCTTGCAGTCAGTTGCATTTACATGGCTGCTCAAATGGGAAGGTGTTTATTAATACCCCGTACTTTGCATGTGAGAATGATAGCTTCGTCTCGTGTGCACAGTCAACAGTTGCGTCTGGGGGTATTAATTGATGAGAGTATGAATAAGATTGATTGTCAAGCGTCTCTCAGAAGTTGCAAATATTTAAAATATATTGTAAGTGAAAATAATAATAGTAATATCAATAGAAGTCAGAATAATAATTATATTAATTATTAATTATACAGAAATTATTAATATTAATTATACTGAAACAGTAGTAGGTATAATAACACCAATGACAACTATAATTAGTTGTAAAAGTATTATTAAAACAAAGAATGAAACTCCGTAATATGTTAAGTATGCAAAAGTAAATTAAGCCTAGGGTATTTGCATGTCTAGCACGTGTTTTTTTTACTCTTATATTGTTGCTCCATTGGTGTGTGTATGTGTGAGGGTGCGTTTTTGTGTGTGTTTGTGTTGATGACGCTTTGCATTTGAAGTGTACGCAAAGTTTTGCTGTGCATTTGCCACGCTTCTTTTTTAAGCACCGCTTTATGTGGCTTTCCCCTGCGCCAGGCAAATTGACGCACCTGTGTGTGGCTGTTTGGTTGTGTGTGTGGGTGCGTGTTATGTCAATTCGACATCCTGGTGGGTCTTCATCCACCTGCTGCTACCATGGTAATTTAGCTAGCACTTCAGATCAATGCGCTGCGCCGCGTTGCGCTGCGTTGCGTTGCGTTGCGTATACGTCATGTTGCGCATACGTCATGTTTGCTGCGTTATACAAACAAGCCTTGTTTTTGCAATATTTTTTTTTAAACGCTGTTGATTCTGGCTGTCAGCCAGCAGTCAGGGTCAGCTGCAATGAGTATGCATATGCAGTCTCCTGTCTCACTTTCTGTTTTGCATTTTTATTGCGCTTTTCGGCATTTTCATTCTAAGCAAACAACCAGCAAATCAACTTATTTGCTAGTCTCTTTTTTTGATGGGGTTTTGGTTAGCTCTTTGCTGGCTGCTTGGTTGAACTCTGGGCTTCGGTTGGCTGAAAAGTTGATTATAGAACGGCAAAAAGGATTACAGCGAGTACACAAGAGCTGCGCGATGTTCGCTTCAAGTAAAATTTAATTATGCTTTCCATTTGGCTGCTCCATACTTTCAGGGCTAAATATATACATGCGTATATATATCTACGCTTCAGATTAAATTGAAAGCAAATTCTTTTAATCGAAAAAGTGCCCAAACAAATTTTGTTTAATTGAAATTATTTTGGCTACAATTTTTCGGGGCTTTTTGCCAAAGTTCAGCTCGAGCCACTTGAAGTCAATTAAAAAGTTGAATTAAATTATGAACGATGTATGCCTTTAATATTCGCCATCATTGTCATCATCATCCTCATCATAATGCACATCATAAGCCCTATCACAATCAATCCCTTGCGAGTTTGTGGCTGGAATGTCAAACTCTTGTGGAATGCACAATATAAATTTAAATTAATTTTCATATTTTCGTAGACAATTTTAATTAAATTTGACATATTTTTATTTTTTATTTTTTGGTTTGTTGGGCGTTGACTTCGGGCTATTTATCCTTTTATCATCCGCAACTTCGTTTTCAATTAAAATGTTGAAATTTAATAACGACAAAAATTGATTTTACAATATCCATCCAAGCACGCATCCCAAAAGGGTTTATTTAAGCCTGATTTGAGTATTAATCATTGTTTTTATATAACTTATGCAGAGTTCAGCCAAGGCTGTATCACATATATTAAGAGCATTTTCTTGCGTATAAAAATATCTTCTTAAATAGAAGAAAAATTCACAAATACACAAAAGACTAGAGATATATGAGATATTTCTATCATATTAAACATCAATACAAAAATTGAGTTTTGTCGTGTATTAAGTCAGCTAAACAAATCGAATCGAATCGAATCTCGAGGCAAAGGAACAATTTAGAATCGATAGATAAAGAATTCTTTGCCTGTTTTTTGGGAACTATGTTTTTCTGTTTCATAACTAATAGTTACTGAGTGCATCACTCCACAATTTGCAGCTTATTGTTTCATTCTCCGTGTATTGCAGAGTGAAAAAGCTTGTCGCCTCTGACAACAAACATTTGCAATGCAATGGGGAAACAATAATCCTTAGAATCGATTGTGTGCTCAATAGTTATCTTATCGCCTCTTTGCTCAGTGGCTGCTGCATCAATAGATTTATCTAGAGCAATGCAAACAATTCATCATCAATGCCATGGATCGGATATGGAGCTGGGCTTAACTAGCAGTAACTTTAGCCATTCATGTCCAGTCAAATAAAGCTGCATCGAGGAGACGTGCGTAACAGAGACAGAGAAAGGACGAGCGGGAACGAGTGCTTTGTAAATCAAATCTTTAAACTTGTGCCAGCTGCGTGCTTATCGATGCTGCTTGTGTCGGGGATCCCCTTCCACTTTCCACATTCCACAGTCCTCGTTCCACTTTCCACTTGTTCAACGGCACTTTTCGTGCTCTCCCCCGTCTCTCACTTGTCGCTCCAGGGCTTTGCAATAAAGTTTAACGCTTTTTTTGCTCCATGCACTTTGCTTCATCATCAATTTTTATTGAAATTGACACTATCTGGACGACAAAGTGGGCGTGGCGAGGGGCTCCTGCGAAATGAATCAGTGTAACATTTTGTCGTGGACAATTTTAATGAGCAGCAACTCGAGCAGATAAAAAAGTTGGACAGGCCTGCAGGGCGAGAGCTTATAAACTTGCTAATTGGATTAGATTTTGCGATATTAAGTAAATTCATTAAGCATTTTCTGCTTCTGCTGCTCTGCAAAGCATATAGTATATATTCTTTTCTGCTGAACGCTTTACGTTTGCAGTTGAGCAAAAATGGTTATTAAAAATTGATTGCCAACTTTTTGCCTCCATCACTTTGCACTCAGCTTTGCACCCAACTGCTGCTGCTGCTGTTGCTGCTGCTAATAAGCTACGAAAGTTCACAAAGACATAAAACAAAAGGAACAGTTAATAAAAGACAGAGAAAAACGCAATAACAGCAACAGCTACAAATGGCAAACAGCTGTGACTCTTTGCTGCTGTCCATGTCTATGTGTGTATGGGTGTGTGTGTGCGCTTAAAGATGACTGAAAAGATGTTCAACTGGTTTTTCGAGCCAATAAAAACAACAACAACAAAAGCGACGACAAGCAACGAAGCACAACGAAATGAAAACAAAAGTAAGCCCCGCTCAACAAAAGCTCCTCAAGCGGCCACACAACAACAGTTACAAAGGCAAAGCAATAACTGTAAATAGGAAACAATAGCAACATAAACTCAAAATAGCACACATTCGAATGCATAAATTGACTCTTAGTGACTTAGTCAACTCACAACTGAATCAAAACAAGTTGAGGCCACGCTGAAGAGCGTTAGTTAAATTATTGTTTTTTACCAATTTAAAATTGCATAACTGCATCAGAGCGAAAGTGAGTGGGTCAAAAGACCCAGGCAGAGAAGATACTTAGCTTAACTTAAGGGATCGATATGTTTTTATATATGTATATGTATATATATATATATGTATATATATATATATATATATCTCAATACAAATACACTTACATCGCTATGAGCACCTTTTCAAGAAATTTACGAATGCATCATTAAATTGGAAGCCATTTTATGATGTACCCTCCAGATTTAGGAGTGCACATCTAATCAGCTTTACGACTGATTTTTAGTGCTCACCGTTATGTGAGTCATTATTGTGGCCCTGTTTAATGACTGTCCCCTGGCTCATTCATGGGGCGAAAGAAATCCTCACAGATTTTCGCCGCTTGGTCGGCTAATGGATCAACACAATGGCCCTAGCAGTTGGGGCCAATTAGTAGGTGAAAGAAACAAAAATAATTGTAAGCTCTGAAGGACAGTAAAAATTGGAAGTTGTTAAGTAAATTAACGACTTTCAAGATTAAATGCTTGGCAAGTACAATAAAAGCTTTAATTAAAACCTTAATAGGTTCCTTATTAGCCTTCAGAGTGTAACTTGACAGCGTTGCCGAGGGCTTATATATGTGAGTTATATATAGAAATGTAGAGCTTAAAAGGAATCTTACATACATGATTAGCAAGTATTTTTAAAGCTGCGCTGAACACTTCAGATTTATTGTTTATTTATTAAATTCTTTCAAAATACATTGATAACCCAAATACAAGCCTTAAGAAAATATAATTTAAATAATATTAAGAGCTTTGTAGTACTTTTAATGGACGTCTGTCCAATTTTGATTTCAGGTTGAGCGTAATATATGTTTAAACATTACGCAGGTTCAGCTTGCTTTGTGGAAAGTCTTAAGTTGCAAATAATTTTTGATTAAAGAAGTATGAAGCTTTGCTTTAATCAAATTAAGTTTTGGGCATAATTAAAATTATAGACGCTGAAAGACTCTAAACTCAATATGTGAATTAAATCAATGTTAGTTTGCTTCGGCTGTTCCAAGTAGCTCAAAAAGGTTAAATTAAAATAAGATGTAGAAAAACAAGTTTTGTAAAACAAAGCGGAGTTGAAGCTCATTAAAGCTTATGAACTTCAATAGTAGTTGCAGACATGTAAGGTTAAGGGCTTTGTTGCTCTAAATATTGTTTATTAATAAATTTAAATAATATATAATGCAAATGATATAACATAGAATAGAATTGTTAAAAAACATCTCTAATTTATTTTTGAAAAACTCTCTAAACTTAAAGCTTTTTAACGCTTTGAAAGGCAAAGAGTTATGTTACTCTTACATAACTAAAGTATAATAAATGTAAATATAAATGATATATAAATACAACTTTTAATGGGAATAATAATATTTTAATACTTATGAAATGAGTTAACATTTTTGCTTTAAGCTTTTCAAATGATTTTAAAGGAATTTGCAGTCATTTTCCCTTGACAACAATAGTTTTACAGCTCCCATTTGCGCTGCATTAGTATTGAATAGAGTTACGTAGAGATAATATCTTTATAAAATCACTTTAACCGCTTATTTCTTACTCTAACCGCAGCTGGAAAGGAGGGGCCGCTGCAAGCCCAATGAAAATGTATGAAAACAATCTGGAAGCAATCATGTAAAATTGCGTTGGAAGCAAATGTCTGGCAATGGAGCACATAGCAAGGAAGCGGAACAGGAATAGGACATCAAATTGGCATTAGAGGTTAACTCGGCTTGTAACAACTGAATCTTGGGCGCGTGGGCGTGGTCAATTTGTAGACAGGAACGTCGCAGCATCGCTGCCAGTGCAACATAAAAGTCAATTAATGTACAGCTGCAACAGCAATTACAGCGAGCGCCTGTGAAACAGCGAACGTGGCGACAAGCAACAGAGGCAGATCCTGGCAGATCCACAATCCTCTGCCGCCCTTCGCCCGCCACACACACATACACACCCACACGCACACACAAGACCGGATAAGCAGCGGAAGCGGCAGGCAACAAAAATTTCTGCAAATTACACGCAACGTGAGGCGGAGACTGAGGCTGCTGTTGAGGCAGAGCTCGAGTGGGTGACCCAGTCCACAAGCGAGACGTACGTCCGGTGGAGGCCACAAAATGACTTTCGTTAACAAGCTGAGCAAAAGCTTCCGCTGGCTGCGCTGCTCGACATTGTGCGCCATTTTGTTTTATATGTTTTTCATTGGCCTCATATTGCACAGCACCAGCCACAAGCTGCAGCTGCAGCAGCAGCAACAGCAGCAACAGCAGCAACAGCAACAGCAGAGCCCGGCAGAGGCCAAGTCAATGCTCAATGAGCACCCTAATAGCCGCGACCAACAACAACAACAACAACAACAAGAAGCGCTGCAAAAGCAGCAGCAGCAGCAGCAGCAGCAGCAAGAAGAAGAAAAGCAAAAACTGAAGTCGCAGTCGCAGCTGGCCACGAACAATTTAGTGTTGGGCAATGCCCAGACGAAGGAGCAGCAGCGACACAAACTGCAGCCGATAGCTGCTAATAGAGAAGGGGCAGGAGCAGGAGAACCGGAAGGAAGAGAAGGTGGTGGAATCGCAGCCAGCAAAACGTCGCAGCCACAGCCCGAAACAGTCATATTAGCGGCCAGCAATGTGAACGAGAAGCAAATACTTGCAAAAGCTTTCAAGCGGTAAGTTACGCCTTAGCATTGGCTACTGACGATAGGGCAGTTGGGGCAGGGAGCCTGTTTGGCTGATAATTTGATGCTAGTTTGGAGGCAGCTGCATTGTTGTTGCTTTTGTTGCCAGCGGCTATTGTTCACGCTGCGCCGTTGGCAGGCCAGCGGTAAACAGATAGCGTCAATGGCGGAGGTAAAAGAGAAGAAGAAGACCACAAAATGGATGCCAGCGCTGTGCGTGCCAGAATTGTGTGTACGACAAATTGTGAAATTTATGGCAACGCAGGCGAATCAGCTATGGGCTAGGGAGAAGCAGCGGCAGCAACAGCAGCAGTTGATAGATGTTCCATTCGAAACTGGGCGAAAAGGTGCTTCAGGGACCCCAAATGCGATTTGTTATTTTGAATGATTTTGATTGGGCGCCGGATAATCGGATTAAGGGCAGGCGGCTAAGGAAAGGCAATCATAATTATTGATTAGAGCGGAAGCTGTGCAGCACGTGTCGACAGTGGCGAATTACAGAAAATATTAGTTTTGAAATTTTTAAATTTTATGTCGTATTACAGCAAAACTATTTTGCTAGTTTTTCATTTAACGAATATAAATCTTAGCAAGCATCCTCAGTTTTCTCAGCACCTAATTTATTGCCAATGAACCACAAGAATTATGAAAGCAGTTAATAACGAGCGATGGGGCCAACATGGCGTATGATTAGGCTTAGCTGCTATAATGCGTGTGGTTAACTTTTATGTATGTGTTTTGGGAGTAAAAAGATTATGCTAGACAGTTTATTATATATTATATTGTACAAGGGTCGTCTAAAAGTCTACTGACCTGCATATAATAATATACTATGCTATAATTTACTAACTTATATATTCTGTGATTCTATTCGATCGAAAGTCTCTTAAACTTTATAGAGAGTAATTTATATCAGTTATAGATAGCTAACTGTACATTATACTCTTTAAAAGACACATTTATATATATCACAGACAGATTTATATATATGAAGCATTAAATATAATTTAGATTTATATAGAACATTTAAAGATTTTGACAGCATTGGGAGCTTAAAGTTTTTATTTGTGTTAGAAGAAAAAAATTTAAGCAAAACTATAAAAAGGCATAGAAAGTTTTTATCTACATTTATTTGATATTGGGATTGTTGAAATTCAACCTTTCAATCAATTTTATACTTCAATTTTTTCTAAAAAGAGCAAAAAATTCAATATTTACACAAAAAGCAGAAATTTGTTCAACATTTTGAGGGGTAATCATAAAACCACAACGAGCGGACTACGTGGCGTATGAGTAACAAACCCGAAAGCTTTCGATTACACATTTTACACATTACACATTTTATTATTCGTGGGCTTTGAGCAAAAGTAAAGTGAATTTTTTAGTGAGGGGAGAATTTCATATATATATATATATATAATATTATATATATATATATATATATATATATAATATTATATATAATATATATATATATAATATATAAAATATGCTATTTAATTGTTTTGATTCATTACTTTAATTATAGATATGCATTACTTGTATGCCTTTTATTGATAACAATTAAAATTAATTCCTTAAGAAATCTGTCGAAAATGTAACAAATTTGCAATATTATTACTTATAATTACTATTCAATTTCACTAATGGAAAAAAGTATCTTGTTAGAGTACAAAGCATTCCACCGCTATTAAAGCTTTCAATTTAGAAAACTTTCTCATGCAAGCCCTCGACCGAATAAGTCCTCTAGTGTTCGAACAACGCCTGTATAACCGTCCGCAATGTGTGCTTAATATTTAATTCTATTTAAAATATTGATAGGATACGCACACAAATGCCACGCCTCCTTGTCATGTACCATTGAGCCTTTAATCGGATTAAACTATCATTAATTCTGATTAGGTTAATGCCATCATGCTTATGCACATCGCCATCAAGGGGCTTTCAATATAAATGCCATATTGATGGCCCCATTGGTGGGCGCAGCTGCAATCAGAAGCGAAAATTGGAAATACGATTTTAATATTTATTGAATATAGAAATAAGTTTACATACAAATATTTCCGTAGCTCACAAAAATTTCTATTTGTGTCTTCCCCTTTACTACGCTGGCTAAAAGTTGCTCGCAAGTTGCGGGCAAATAAATTTGAAATTGGACTGAATTCACATTTTGCCGTTGCTGCCAAACTTTATTTCCTTATTTTTTCACATTTTCGCTTTGCATTTGCTCTCGATTTTGATTGCTGTCTCCAGCTAAGCATTTCGTAAGTTACTTGCCGCACTTTAAGTTGGTCAAATGTTCGAGATTTCAATATTTTTCACTCGACTGCACAGCAATTTAAACTTTGCAATCAATTGAACTTTTTGTATATATATATATATATATATGAGTATATAGACACATATATATATTTTCTGTATGTTATATATATAAATATGTAAGGCTAACTACCCAAATCTCCGTAGCAAAAGTAATTACAACTTCTGGCTATTATATTTAAGGCCGTTCATTTGTAAGCAATTATGTTTATTCGGGCAAATAAATATACAGTCTTTGATCCTTGGGTCGAGGTCTGCGCTTGATAATGCTCTTTAATATTATTATTAATGCAGATTAAATTTATTGAACAGATATTTTTTTCAAAATTTAATATGATGTCACTAGATTTTGTTTAATAATTTACTACAATTGTATAATAAATGCACTTAACTTTCAACGACGCAACAGAATTTTTAAGCTCTTATTTACCGAATCATTTTTATATTTATTAAATTTATTAACGATTTTATTTTTTTAATCTTCTAAATATATAAATAACCTTAAATAATTTTTGTATTTTAAATTGAACATTTACATTTTAATTGGCTAAATAAAAATGTACTTTTAATTTAAAAAATTCAATCTTTCATTATTATTATTTATTTATTTAATTATTTCTTTATTTAAAGTTACAGCTCAGTAATAACTCGAGTTAAATAGTTTATTTTTTAAATATTTTTTTTTAATTTAACCAACGCACGGGAATTTAGATTTGAACCGAAAAGTAAATTTCATGTGCGTCCAATTATTGCGACTAAATATTTATATGGTTCACAGCCAGATCGAAACCAAATAATTAAGAGTGTTTTAGTCAAGACTACGAACACACAGACAGAAAGACGAATGCGAGCATATTGAAATTAAAGCTTTAGAATTTGGAAAATTCTCTTAGGGTGATTCATTGGTCAACTTATATACAATCATAACTATTTTGCTCGAATACTATAAGTTAGCTTCTTGAGCTATCGTTGTTGTCAGCCTCATCAGTATCACTAGATTGTATGGTAACTTTACCTGTATGCGACTGCATTCTTGTCGCCTTGAATCTTGTTGAAGAGTCATCTCGCCTGTCAATCACCTGATGGGACACGGGGTCATACAGTTGATAGCCCTTAGACCTTGAACTCTTGTCCAAAGCTACTGCTATGAAATCAAGAACTATTAGATGACCAAGAAAATGTATCTTACCAATCCCTGTTTTAATAGCCGTCATACTGGTCAGGACACTGGTTGGCGAGCGATTCCGTAAATATACTTACTCAGCCTCTCAGGAATCATCCTGACTGACAACCAAAGTGCGGCTGGCTCTCTCAGCAACGTCGTTTTGTTGTGGGGTGTATGCCACTGTCAGCTGCCTCCCGATTCCATGATTCCTTAAAAGTTCGATTCATTGACACTTAACAGTTTTTCCTGTTTTCCGTTCAATTAGGGCTTTGAGCTCGACTACATTTTTGAAGGCTTCAAACTTCATCTGCAGGAAATACTCAATTTTGTCATCGATGAACTTTAGAAAGTACCTCGGTGCAGCTAGTACCAAGAGGCCCGTACACATTTGCAATATGGCTTGCATTTTATTGCTGCTTGCATCAGGAAATAGTTGCTCCTGAATCTCGGTGAACATGCAAGTTATCCAACTCATATTTGTCAGAAACCCCATATTTTCATGGTCGCCCACAATTTGTTTGAGTATCAAGTCTTTCAAACTGCTTACCTCTTGAATAGGCCACACTTTTCATGCCACAGGGCACCATCAGCCTCAATCACACCAAAACAGATGCTTTCTTTAGCTTGAAACACAAATAGCTTAACTTTTATTGCATTCATGATACATTAGCCTTTTTGAATTACTTTTTGGATACTTTTGTATTTTGTTCAAAAATGACTAAAAATAGTCACAGTGCAAATATCACTCTCTTTAGATATTTATATTCCTGCCCTTCAGCTCCTACGAAACCGGTGTCAAATGTTTCTCTGTCTTTCTCTTACTTGGAAACCGTTAATCACAGGTTTCTGCGGTGCCACTATCTAAACACCACAAATTACTTTCGCATTTAAGAGTCTTCAGTGATTTAAGAGTCTTCAGTTCTCTCCTTTAGCTGAATTTTTCTCGTTTGCGATCGCTCTCTCTCTCATGCTGATTTGTTTCTCTTCTTTTGTGCTTTCTGCGAGACCGGCTTCTACGTTGCGTTAAATGCTTTTTCACACTCCTTTTAATTTTCTGCGTTTCAATTTTGCTCGCCCGATTACTTCAGATGTATACATAGACTGTCGCGGGTCTCTATGGCGCCAGAAAATATTCTACAAGGCTCGACAGGAAAACTATTGCGCGCTGTTCTTTGATTCATGCGCTTTCCAAGCAATTTGTCTTACAGTGAAGCCTTTCGGATGATTGATGGACACATTCTAATTTGTTAAATGTCTCGGACAGCTCTTTGTAGCTCTTGATGTCGCCCAATTGTAACGTTTTCAGTCTTAGCGTGGTCATGGCCAGCGGCTTATTATCTATCTTTGGGCTGTCACTTCACATCTTCAATAACATTTATCGACAGCAGACCACCAGAAGCCACAGTCCATAATTCCGCGTGAACCAACACTGACCGCATATGATTTCCCTCCAATTTACCAATTTGATAAATCCTACTCATAGCTAATTATCGATAAGTTTCACGCCTATGTTAATAGTTCGTAACTAAAATAATCATTTTACTTGGAAATTTGAATATTCGATTCTGTGCCCACTACCTGTTGAATGAAATACTGAAATACTGAAGTATCGATTAACGTCCATTCAATACAACATTTTTTGTGGCTGGCATCGAAAATAAAGAGAAACCGAAAAAGAGATGATAAAAAATATTGTCATCACGTCTCCCACTCACACATGTACATATTTATATGTATGTCACATATGCAGTGGGAGAGATGGTAATTTGCGACGATGTTAACTACGCTAACTAATTAAGATTATTTTAGTTCCACTCTTAACGGAATTAATTCACCTCATTTTTAATTAAATGAACTTCTATATTTCTGTGGAAAGTCTTTTAAGTGGCAGACTACTTAGAATTGACAACTTAAGTGAGTTTTCTTAGCAAACTCCATTTGCCACATAGCAAACAAGTCTGTGAATTTCATAAACTAAAGTGACAAACACTTGCGAGCAGCACAATAGAAAGTCCCCGCAGGCAACTTGAGTTTATGTTTGCCAACAAATGCTAATCCAAAGCGCCTTAACCTGAGCGGAGGTGCGACAGCGTCTGAATAATATGAGCCTCAATCAGGACTGTTTGCTGCTGGCTGTGCCCACGAATGTGATTGCCCTGTATAGGTGTCAGTTATTAAAGCATCCAGTGGGCGGCGCTACGCCCATGATGCACTCAAACTAACCAGCGGAATAATCACGAAATGGCTGCCAGGGGAGTGTCAATGCGTATCCAAAGGATTATTTCGTTTGCAGTTCTGCTTGCGTTGATACTCGTTCACAATGTGAAAAGAGTTTATAGAGGATCCTGAATGTGCATTACATTGACGTGTTTGCTCACGTCTGATATAGTCCCTTTCCCGATACCCCAATCAGAATAATTATGATCCCCTAAGCCACATTCTTAGGGCTATCAAAACTGGTTTTACAGTTACTACTGTGTTATAATAGTAAAATCAGATCAGCCTAAATTACGTCACAATATCTTCTAACTTCACTTGTTCCCCTCGTCTACAGATAATTATAATTATAATAATGGAGAACATCTATTTTTAAATATATATATATAGAAGTAGCTGGGCGGTAAACGAGCGCTATGCAATCGGTTGCGCCCGATGAAAGAATGAAACGCTCTTGTTGTATTTGTGTTGAAATGCGCTTGGGGATTCCAGTGCAAAAGCGAATGCGATGGCAGTGGCTGCACCGCACTGTGGTTTCATTAGCATATATTTAAGGCATTAGAACTTAAATAAATAAACCGGCAACTAAAGCGATTTCTAGCTAGTTTCCTTCCGCAAAACTTTTGTTGTTCGCCCCGCCTCCATTCTACTACGCCTCCTTCGCAATTTCGTAATGTATGTGTGCGCTGCGGTCTTTGCCAGCTCGGAGTTTCGGTTTGAGTTGGAGTTTCGGTCGCCCAGGCGAGGGGCACAGAGTGCACAAATTCCCCAGAAATAAAAAACAAACAAGCCAAAAAAACAGCAAAGAATAAACTTTTTCCCTTCCACCCTTTCGCATCTCTTCTACGCATACTTTAGATGAAAAGTTTTTCATTTCAACTGCGTTTTTCACATTTTTGCATTTCTTTCTATACCCTGTGGTCATAAAATTGGTAAACAAGGACAATTCGACAAGAAGCTAGGTATGAGACCTTCAAAAGCTTATGTATTTATGGTCTGCATGATATAAAAGGTAAAAGTAAAATACTTCACGTAGTTGATTGCCTAACGCTGACCTTTTGGTATCATGGCAGATAATTCATTTGTCTATCTAAAAGAGTTCTATAGAGCGTATGCCACAGTCGGGCACTTTTTTAAGTTGACAAACAGCATGCCCTTTGACGAACAGCAGGACATGGGATTAGTTGCTAGGCGAAAATGCATTTTGCATAAGCCTGTGGTTTTTCCTTTGCCAATTGCCAGTGTTGGATAGTTTCCTTTTTCTCTCTTTTTTTATGCGACAGCAAAGATTTTGCGAAACGGGATCTTTGGCTCCTGTTGGGATTGTGTCAACGTTGTCACTGCAAAAAGTTCTTGGAAATTATTTGTACATTGCAATAAAATTAAGGAGACTAAAAGAATTAAATTCTTTAGTGTTGATAAAAAGGAAGTATGAATTCTGGGATATATTCGAATGTTTACAACATGGATAAAATAGAATAAAAAAAATTTAATATTAAAGCTAACCTGTATTAACTACTGTTCGAAAGGGGAAATAGAGAAAGCAGAATGAAACATGAAAGAAAAAGATCAAATTAATAAAGAGACGCGAAGCAATGAATAGTTGTCCCCAAAGCAAGGGCTTCATATTATATATATATATATTTATATATATTATATATATGTGTGATATAATGGAAGATGAGAGTTGGCGATATTGCGAGCTAGAGTAAGGGAAAAGCACGATCAAAACATTTAATGACATCCGTAAAGAAAGAGACACCGAGAGAGAGAGAGAGAGAGGGAGAGTGATTTTGTTTTTGCATAAATTAAATCAACTTTTATCCTCGCATTTCACGAGTATCAAAAGTCAACTCGCGTTTAAAGGATATACTTTTACCCGGCTGTAAGTTTTCGAAAGTTATTTGGTCCGTGCGCCGTTTGCACTGCTATTTATTCGTATAACTTTTCCGTGCTGTTAAACTTGCGAATGCAAGCGAAGCTTGACTGCATGTTGCATGCAACTTGTGTGCTAGTTTGTGGCATTCTTCATGTTGGGCCAGCAGCAGCGCTAAATCAATGTACTGGCAGCAAAAGGCTTCTGGCCGCAGTGTCCTAATTGGAGTGCTCACCCGAAGGACATTAACGAGCTGCGTGTGTTGATAACAGCGACTCGGCGCTGAGGGGGTGATGAAAATGTCATTGACAGATAGTCAGACAGACAGACAGAGGCGCACAATTAAAATTTATAACAATAGCCCGTGTCAGTTGCAGCTACATTTTAATTGGCACTGGCCGAATTGCCGGAACCAATGCTCCCTGGACTGGGGCGTTGGCTGTACCACAGCATTAAAACGGAATTTAAAGGCAAAAGCCACAAATGAGGGCTATCAATTTCACACACGCAATTATCACAACATTTTACGGTCTGCTTAATTGGAGTTTAATGTGTGGCTGACAAGCGCTTTCATAAATCAGTTTCATTATATTCAGTATATTTGAGTTATTCAACTACAAATTAACTATTTTTCCTCTCCTGTCATTTGTGTGCATTCCTGCTTAACACAGTCCCCTAGGTTTTCCTGTGTCGAAACAAGCTCTCAACCGAGCTATAAACCAAAAAGTAATTGAAAATAAACCCAAATCTTAACATTGCCATAAAGATATTCGGAGAAAATCCAGGTTACACATTTATAAAACTTAGCGTAAAAAATTAATCCAAAGCGAAAAAATAGAAATTTAAATTTTATTTCATTCGTTTTTTTCTGTTATCGAAAGTTGAATTGACTGAGCAAATAGCGGATAGGGGTTTCACAGAACAAAATATAAAATTAAATTCAACTCTTCATCAGAATTCAGAATGAGAGCCATACCGAACATCTTCATTGCGTCTTCTTGCAATTGATCCCAAATAGTTCATAATTACTAAAATTGCCAATTTTTGCAGAGGGATCGACTCCTCCTCTCACATAGTCCTATAAGTTATTTGTTCCGCCAGTTCTTACATTCTTAATATGTTTGAGAAATAAAGGCTTAAACCTCTTACATTCCCTTTTTAACTAGCAGTTAGATTCCATAATAATTAGACAGACGACAGAATATTTTTATAATCTAATATACCCTATATATATGAGACTCTCTCTCAAAATATTCTCTTATATCTGAACATTGTTTTCTTTGCAGCGCGGATCGAAATCATGATGGACGTCTGTCCATTCAAGAGCTGGGACAGTACATCAATAAACGTATTGTGGAACACATAGACATTGCCATCATGAACAATGCCCGGGAGTTTCGGCGCGTGGACATTGCGCCGGCCGACGGGCTGATAACATGGGATGAGTACCACCGCTTCTTTCTGCGTGAACATGGCATGACCGAGGCGGACATCGATGAGCACGATGAGATCAGGCATACGACGTTGAATCGCAGAGCAAGAGAGGATATGATGAGAGATAAGGCGCGTTGGTCGGAGGCTGCCCGCACGGATCTCTTTACACTGACTATTGATGAGTATCTGAGCTTTAGGCATCCAGAGTCGAGTGTATCCAATCTGCTGGAGCTGGTGGATGATCTTCTGCGACAGTTCGACCAGGATGGCGATGATCAGCTAACGTTGGAAGAATTCTCCGACCTCAATGTGGACGACGATGAAGATCTGCTGCGCAAGTCTCTCATATCGAAAACTCTCGTGGAACGTCGCGAGGAATTCAAGCGCATTATCGACAGGAATCACGATGGCAAAGCCGATCGTGGCGAGTTACTGAACTATGTGAATCCAAAGACACCACGCTATGCCCTCCAGGAAGCGGCCACATTATTCAGCCTTTGCGATGAAAACAAGGACGAACTGCTAACACTTAAGGAGGTAGAAATAAACTGCGAAATGCCTAACGAAAATAATTAAAGACTTTTCCCTTCTTTATAGATGACTGACAATGCTGAGATATTTTTGCAATCAAAGATGATCGATACGGCTAACAGTTTTCACACCGAATTTTAATCACACTATCGCACTCTTTTCTTCTACTTGGAGCCGTCTAAGCCCAGCTCACGATTTCTGGCTAAAAGGACAAAGAAAGAACTATAGAATCTTTGTGCATTTATAGTGATATTAATTTGTAAGTTGTTGCACGTAATGTCTAATAAAACTATCATAGATCATGTAATACACGAATCGCTATGCTTATATATTAATATATATATATACATTTACACATAAATCTAGGATTAATTTTGTTAGAACTTTGTACTATGTATTCCTTAAGAGCAAGAGGCAATTCATTTGATGTGTGATTTTAAATAACAATTTTACTTAAGAATGCGAAGCAGATTTAATTACAAATACTCCAAAATATATACACAATACATATACGTAATTTTATGATAACAGTTAATAATATATACACAAATCTTGTTTTCCTTACGGATGGTGGGAATGGTATACAGATCAAACAGTCCAGCTTTACTTAGACTATATATTTATATACAACTATATAGCATACTTTATAGTCTAGTGATTGGGAAAATCTAGTTTTACGAAACTTGAAAATAATAAAATAAAGGATTTTATGTTAAAGGGGACCTAATTTAAAAAAATCTTAGAGACAGATTAAACATCCGACTCTTGAAGTCATAAATCCAAAGCAAAGTAGGAGCTGGCAATTCAGCTGCAATTCAATAGCAACTGCGACAAAATAAACAAATTTGAATGTTCATGTGTGCACAGGTATTCGCGCTATTGGCTTTTGCTTTCTTTAGTAACTGCGAACTCAACGGATTTCCATGACATTTTCAGCAAATTTTCCACAACTCATTTGCATTTTGGCCATAGTTGCAGCTGAATTTAAATTTAAATAATTTTGCTGTATTTGGAGCCGGTAAGTCCGATGGATCGAAACCAAAATATTAAATAAATCAAAATCGTGTAAAATATACATGAAACTAAATGGAATGTCAATTGAGTGAATCTAGCTCCGAAGGCGTGAGAGACATGATTCTTAAACAGATTCCATGGAAACAGGCAAAGGTATTGGTAATTAAAAACAAACTTGAACTGTGCCTATTATAGGTGGACACGCATAAAAAGTCACCATACGAATACATAATGGACGCACAAACAGACGGAAAAGGCTAGATCAAGAATCAGGCCAGACGTTCTTCACCAGTTACATACATTTTACCACAGCCCTGAATACACATTTTCAATGGGTTCAGAGTAAAAACCTTATTTTCTGTTCATCTGAAATTTAATGAGACTTAAAATCTATAGACATCCTACTGTGGACAAGGTAGAAATTAAGTTTGCGTGTCCTTAAGCAGCTTAACTTCTTCCGTTTTTTCACTGAGCAGACAAATTCGGCATCATTAAACATAATCCCATGTTCAAGTGGCTGGCGTAAGATGAATAGGAGGGTACAAATGATAAATAAGTGCCACTCCAACGAATGGCAACGAAATGCTGAAGCAGCCCAGTCCAAGCCTGAATATCTATGGCAACGTGAAAAGCTAAAAGCCTGCCAAAGCCTGATGAATATCCTTGAGAAGTTTAACAGGCAATTGACTTGCTGATGGGTGTTAATACCTCTTAAATTCTGCAGGTGGAGACACGGAGATCTCTTTAAAGAGATGCCAGCTAAATTGATAGATTAGCGCATGAAATAGCTAACGTACGATACGTGCGCATAAAACTCAGACAAGGCGAGCATATTTTAACGCCAATAGATGAGGAGTTATAGCAAACAACTGCTGTCGCTGACGTCGCCGCTGCCTTTGTTGCTGGCAATGAAAGACTGTCGAGTGGGTAATTGAATCTAATTATTCGGAAGCACAGATAATGAGCACGTAAAACGCAAGGAAGAAGATGGCCAGGATATCCCACACAGTTATTAAGGCATCTGCGTATGCGTGTGCTTGTCACTCTCTTTGTCTGTGTGTGTGTTGTTTATTTATGTACGGAAGCGGAAATAGCAACAGAAACGTAGAGATACATAGAGAATACACGCAAGAGCGAATCTGTCAGGAATGCCTGACTAGAAAATATCCTGAAGAATGCGTTAAACTCTAATTTATTCGACATTTATTAAATGTGCAGTATATAAATATAAATTTCAAATATTCCAAATTTGAAACCAACTCGAATGCTTTTCTTGTTTCACAGAGCTTTTTAGGTATTACATAGATTTCCACAAAGCTCATATGCTATTTTAAGCACATTATCAGTGGACGATGGAGATAATAAGCTAACATCAATTGAGTTAAGAAGCGGCAGCAAACACGCGAAATAGTTGAAACCCACGGCCACAACACGATTCATGGTATTTTTATTTATGTATTTATTTCTGAAGTAATCCAAGTATCAGGCCATAAATTACCATTAAGCAGCAACTACTTTTTCCAGAGAGGACTGGCATAGACTGCGGCAGGTGCTGCGGCATAAGTGGTCACAGGTGTTCTGTAGACAGGAACAACAGCAGCGGCAGCATAGCTGGAGTATCGAACGGGAGCCACAGCCGAGTAGGTGGTAATGGGGGCCACAGCCGAGTATGTGGCTATGGGAGCCACTGCCGCATACCTGGTCACGGGTGCAGTCAATAAGCCAGCCTGAGCGCTGACAATGCACAGAGCCAAACAGATGAGGAATTTCATATTGATTTGATTTGTTTTTTTGTTTTTTGTTGTGGTTTGTTTTGTTTATGGCGACTATTTGCTGACTTGTCCCCTTGTGAGTGACTGTTGCTGTTTGGCAATCAACGCCGGGCTTTTATAGCACAGGCGTCAACCCGTTTGCGGCTTAAGTGCCCAAACAAACCGACACCAGTCGAAATTAGAACACAATGACAATATTTTCAATTTCTGCTCTGCCATGCTCCAGCGATGCGGATGCCAACGACTGCGGTGTCAATTGTCCGCTGTGGCTTAAATGGCGGACAGGCAGCTTATCAAATAGATTCTCATTATTCATTCAGTCGTCAGGAAATATGAATTACCCAGCTTAAAATTAGCTATTGTTGAAGTCGTTAATTAGATTTCAGCATGAAATAAGATATTGTTAAGCGGCCCTGAATGCTTGATTATTACCTTATTCGTATTTATAATTAAAAGTGCGATCTCATGGATAAAGTGCGTATATATTATAGGACATAAATAAGGAGCATATCTAGCTGTCAATGCAGTTTACAAATAGTAGGTGGAAGCTTATACTAGCAAATAAATAGTAAGGAATAAATTAGATTTTGCTCCCATTGAAAATCCCACTGAAAATGGGAAATCAGGTTATAATGATCATAAATGATAATTAATAACTATATTATTATTTTATAAATTACATTTATAAATAGTTTTTTGAATTGCTGGTAAGACAAGTTAAGCTCGTTCAGTGCATTGAGCTCTTACAGTCATTGTCATATATAGGTTATATCGTAGATTGTTTAAGAACATTTTAATAGATAAATATTTTGACTGACTTACTGTTGGACTCGAACAGATAAATGTTTTTTATATTTCTATTGTTTTATTTACTACTATATTTTATTTATTTACAGTCTGCTGTTAATGACTGAGTAAATTCTCTATTTAAATATAAATTAAATATAATTAAAACTGCGTGTCGGAATAACTTGAATTATTTTAGTGACTTGCGTCCTACTGCAACATTTTTTACTTGTTTTGCATTTAGACTAACATAGTCTGAAGCTAATCTAGTTTAGCTGCATTAGAAATTTGTTTATTAATTAATATTCTCACAATTTTTAAAGATTTACGGATGAGCTCTATCGTCGAATATAATCTCTGTGACATGTGAGATATGAAATTTCAGTATTAATCCGAATTAAAACTTTTACGACATGCATTCAGCATTAGCCACAAATATCGCTTGTTCAAATTTGATAACATTTGTTGTCTTTACATTTTGGGTTACTCATTAAATGCAGCCACAAGTTTTGAGTGCAGATCGGGGTATTCATAAATTGTGTAAGCTACGTAAAACAAATGGCAACAGGCCAACTTAACGAGCCGCAAAAAAGATGCTACATTTGCTACATGGATAGCAATGTGTGTTTATGTGTGTGTGTGAGTGCGATATAAAATGAAGTCCCTGTCTGGTGCTCGGAACATTTTTGCCATACAAATGTTTTGCATTATTAGGACACAGGCCGGGCGAACGGGCACGCGTCGCCGAGCTTGGTAGTTGAATATGTTCTACACGTAAGTTACATTAGTCAAACTGGTCCCTGGCAGAGCCCTTGTGAATTTGCAGAGCATGCCAAACGATACGACAACGCGACAGACACCCTGTCCAAGACTGGGTAAGTCAAGAAAATTATTGAAGAGCTGTGGCCAAAAAGTAAAGAAAAACGAAAGCGAGTGCTGTGAGCCAAAAGCTTCAACAGTCTGCATGAATATGCCAGACACATACACAGATGCGACTATCTGTGACTCTAACTATACGTATGTGTCTGTGTGACTCTCTGTGTGTGTGTGCTTGCCATAACTGCTTCATCTTCTAGCTCATACATATTAAAATCTCAGAAAAACGAACTTCAGCAGTTCACGAAATGGAAACAAAAACAAAGCTAAAACACAAATATAAATGTACTGGATCAAATACAAACACAAACATACACACACACACACAAGGAGAGTCGACTAGATGGCAGGTTGAATGCAAAGGGTGGCGAGGCTCATGCATTTTAAAATTCAGCCATTAGAGCACTTTGTTTTTATTTTTGGTATATGCAGAATATTATTTGAGCACGTTTTTGGCGCCTGACATTGCATTTAACATTTTGCATGCATAACAGAAAACCCAACCAGGACACATACCGAACACCAAAAACGAGAAAAAGAAAAAAAAACAATTTAAAATAAACTGCCAGCAGTTGGGTTAACTCTCGACTTGACTTCACTCTTGTCTCAGAGCTCAGACTCTGCTTTAGAGTAATTAAATGCTTTAAAGTTGTAATAAAATAAATCATTTGGAACTCGTTTTGTTTTGTAAGTCAAACAAAAAAGGATTTTTCCCAAATTGGCTAACAACACATCATTTAACAAGCTGCCAGCACATCAAGCAGCAGGTGAGAAGGGCAAATGAGAGCGTGTGAGATTAGCTACAGTGGCTGCAAACGAAATGTTTGCGGCTAGCCAGAGAGCACATGACAAGTGCAACTTAGGATATTGTTATTGGCTAATGAATATTTTGCGATTTATATCTCTGAATTAAATGAAATTTATTAAATATTTAAGTAATAATAAAATATCATAATATAATTAAAATTGAGTGTTTAGCGTTATACAAAAAACTTTATCCAAATATTAGCTCATCGCGGTTTTTTGGTTTAAAAACTTCAAACTACATTCATAAATAATATTAAATTTGAATTTTATTAATTTATTAATTATTACAAGTCAGCAAAAAATGACAATATATAATATAAGCAATCCAAATCCAAATATATGATATAATATACATATATGTGATTTATATAAAAACAAGTGAGAAAGCTCTAGTCGGGGTGCCCGACTAGCAGATACCCTGATCCCTGTCCTATTTGCGTTTATTAATATTTTCCGTAGTTTGTATCGAGTATTCAAAAAAAAAGAAAACAAATAAAAAACGACATTTTGAGACCAGGATTCGAACCCGAATTGTTTGCTCAACGTGCACCAACTCTACCAACAACGCTACTTCATAAGAAAAAGAAAATAAAACAATAGAAGGATTGAACCCGAAACGAGCGCCGCCTCTACCGCCGCAACCACTGCACCGATTTGCAAACCAGTTGCAAATTTGAAGTTAAGTAGCAGCTAACAATTCAGCACAATTCAATCGCGATTTCGATTCTTTTAATAGCAAAGAATACACGCATTTGAATGCATGTGTGCACAGGCATAGCTCTTAAGACGTCTGATATATAATTTATTTACTGCATTTCAATTATGTTTTTATTCGATAACAATTAAATGCGAATAGTTATCGAATATTTGAAACGACTCGGCTTGTCGTCCTGATCAAAAATATATATACTTTATGGGGTCTGCTACTCCTCCTTCTGCCTGTTACACACTTTTGACCAAACCATTATACCCTGATTTCCCATTTTCAATGGGATCAGGGTATAAAAATTTATTTTCAATTTCGTAAGCATGTTAGAATAGTCAACAAATGCGCACAATATATTTTCTTAACTGCCACTTTATTTTTCAGGAACAACTAATTTCATTTTGGGACATATTTGAAATATTTCTCGCACTACTGTCCATCATCTTTTGTTCATCTTTTAATTTTACATATTTATTCAAAATTATTTACTAAATACATATACATATATATAATTCTAATTGAATATTTCACCTGAATAAATACTTTTCTCTAAGTGTAATACTTCTAGTATTCGCCGATAAGTATTTTTTAAATTTCACAAATCTCCGTCTTTTTTTTTAAATTCAATAAAATTTGCTTAAAAGCTTGAATACCTTATTTTATTGGATTTTCGTGGATTTGCCATGAATATTTCACGTATGTTTTGCATATTTTTCAGCAATTTTTTACAATTTAATAGAAAAATGCAAATCTCGAATTGCGACACAAAAAAAATGTATAAATCAATAATAGTTCACAGAGCAATAAATTATTGGACCTTTGCTCGAAATAAATCCCAAAGTTTTAGAATATGATTTATTCATTCAAATTTTGATTCCTTTTTGTCAAGTTGTTTGCCATTGTATGAGGAGTTGGCAACAAAATGACAATAAAAGGTAATTTGGTAGTAACAACTTTAAGGCAAACACTTAACTAACTTTATGTGTGTGTATGCACGTGTATCTGTCCAGGTACTCGTTCTCGATTTGAGCTGCGGGGGCCAGTCCTCGAACTTTGTGCATAAGTATGCGTGCGTGTGTGCGGGTAAACTCATTCACATACATGGAAAGTAAAAAGCAATTTTCGTAACATTTGCATGCCTTAAACCAACACGCACACATACACTCCCATACATAAATATATGTACATGTAGACAGAGAGAAGCAATGGGAGACAATCCGGGAGAAGCAGGCGAGGACACGCGGCCTACCTTTGTGTGGAGTAGCAAAAACTACGATTATGTGTGGGTGTATTTGTATGTGAGGGTGTCTGTAAGTTGAATGGAGTACGTGTTGTGCTGAAAATGCAATTTGCCTTCTGTGCGAAAAGTACGTAAAATTTATGCAAATTTCCCCGAACTGCCCCTGACCCAAGGATGATGCGATGGCGATGGCGACGGCGACGGCGACGGCGATGGCGATTGCGACTCTGCAACAAGCGGAAACAGGAAATGCGCCATTGTGTGCGTGCTCTCCCATGCACGTGTGTGTATGCGAGTATATCTGTGTGTGTGTGCGTGTTTGAGTATATATGTATTTAGTACGCGCTAAAATGAAAATGTAGTGAAATATGCGATAGAAGGGCCAACGAAAAAATATGTAAGCACAAATATGCTACATATACGCGACTTCAAATTTACCCTTCATAAAAATAGGTATTGCAAATAACTGGATAAATGTGTAAAAAAATATATATATTTATCTTTATTTATTTAAAAATGTTAAATGCTATGTCTTAAGCTAGATATATACAACTAATAAAATGGATATGAACCATTTTATTTTTA